GAGTAATAATATCGAGTATGAGAAGTATCATAGATCTACTCACCTCATCATAGCCGGTTGCAGAAGATTTTATTAAAAGTATGGCTTTTCTAGTATCATTGTCAGTCATTGAACTGAAGTCGAAAGAATTACATGATAACAAAGGCATGGAATTAAGTTCCTGGTGAGTCGTAGCTTTGGTGAACAAATGCAGACGTGATGCAGAAGAGAAGTGTATGTTCAAGTCATTGAGTAAAATGTTAGGGATTAGAGAATTGGAATGTGATTTTCCAAATCCCAGGGAATTAAGGAACTTCCATATATCTGCAGAAGAGGAGTTTAAAATACTGTTGTGGAAGTAGCGGCGTTTGGCAGTTCTTACCACCTGATTACAGCGGTTTCGTGCTCGCTTATAGTGTTGAAAGGTGAAACTGTTCCGATTATTTTTAAAAATGTGAAAAGCTCGATCTCTTCTTCTCATTGCTCTACGCACTTCATCAGTTATCCACGGTGTAGGAGGTCGACGTAACCTGACTGCTCGAACTGACGCGTGCCTATCGAATAGGTCGAGAATTCGGGTGTTCAAATGAGCAATTTTGTCTTCAATATTATTTGCATCCAGCAAGGGGCCCCATTCTTTATTCTTGGCATCGCGATGTAGTCGATTGGTGTCAATTTTATTGAAATTGCGTAGGTACACAATCACTGGCTTTGGCTTGGGAGGCTTTAATTTATACGACATAACCAAAAGATCGTATCGAGAAAACGCGGGAACAGGCAGTTGATCATGATATAAAACATGATCCGCTGAACTAGTGTAAATGATGTTTAACCATGAATCTTCGGTATCCACGTTGTGGTGAGTTGGACCAGATGGTAGAATATAGAGATCTGCCGAGTCCATGATGGCTTTAAGTTTGCGAATCTGAGGGGAATCCTTTAGCATGTTGGTGATTTCACCCATTATTATAATATGTTTGGTAACAGTGCTGATGGAGTCGATTACCGATTCAATATGGGAAAAATAATCAGTTCAAGGAAGGCAGTAAACAACTCCGAGCATGACCCTCAAACCCTTAATTTTTACTTCTAGAAATAGGTACTCAGCAGATCCTCTATATTCTGATTGTGATATTGCAATAACATTATATGCATATTCCGATCGCAAATAAATGGATACGCCACCCCCACCCTTGCCAGTGCGATCAGAACGTATAAGGACAAATCCAGGAAGGCCGTACAACGTGGAGGATAGGGAGGGTTTTAGCCAGGACTCTGAGATAAGTAGGGCATGGATGTATGGTGAGGAAAATGTGTCAAGTAGATCTGAATAATGGGCAGGGATGCTTTACGCATTTATATGGCATATATTTAAACAATTTGTAGAGGCAAATTGCGTGTGCAAATAACAATGATTTCAAAAGGAAGGATAGGCCCATCTAAATATTTTACTCATAACTTTTTCATACAAGAAAAAATAGCGCATTTGTCATAATACAAACGTCATATCAAAACACGACGTAACCAGGATCGGATTTCGTAGTATAATTATCCTAATTGTACCATTATTTCATAGTTTGTAGTATATAATATCGTAATAGTACAAAGCAAAAATACCAAAATTTTACCTACAGGTCTACTTGTATTACTATTGGGTCCTTTTAAATTTTAATATTAACCTTACGACTACGATATCGAGAATTTTTGTATTGTACATCATTACCGCGTTTTTTTTTAAATAAAATTAGAATTAACTCCCTTTCTGGTCAACTGGTGGATGCATTTATGTTGCATCTTGATACAACTAAAATGAGGGGCTACCACGTTAAAAACTCTATGCTCCAGAAGCAATCAGTTTTTTGAATTTCAAAATATTTTATGAATCAGATTTTTAGATTCAATTAAGCAAATATGATTTCGTTTGTACTCTTTTCGTTTTACCCTTATTGAATATTAAAAAAATATTTTGTACTAATATTCAACATTTAGCTTACACTAAGGTCTTTAGACAAAAATTAAACAGAAATAAATATAAAACCGTCGAAACATACATAAAACGAAACGTATAGATAAACTAGACGCGTGACGCCAAAATCCCGGCACATGGGAAAAAAGAAACATGGAACGTCAAACGTGATATAATTTTTTTTAAATAGTATAATTTTATTTTCCATGTACAATATTTTTGAGGGCCTGAATCCAACCCTGGCCTAATCTTGGTAACGTAACTAAACTAACTGTAAAATAAAACTTTGAAAACGCGTTTATATAATAATTTAAACGTAACAAAATTAATATAAGGTTATTTATCGATGATAAGATATCCCATTTTTTTTTAAATCTTTGTATCGTAATTTTTGCATTCTTTTACCACGCATCTAGACATATTTATGACAGGCAAATCTGTCCTGCGCGCGCACTACTGTCGACCGATTCGCGTTGGCCCTAAACTGTAATTTTAGGGCCAGCGCACTGGTCCGTTTTAGTTGTTCGGTCGGCCCGGTCCTTACGCTAGTAATATATAAGTCAATGGCCAATAATTACCCATATTATGAATAAAAGAATCGTCTGCGGCTGAGGTGATGTGAAGAGAAGAACATGCAGAATAAAATGAGTCTTCATCCGATGACATTTAATCTATTATTAATAATAACAGTATAAAATAAATATATATGGTATAGGTAATAATAATGTTGTATAATAAATATGTTTGCGTCGTTATTAGTAAGCTGTAGTGGCAATGGGCCGGCCATATAGCTCGAAGAACCGACAACCGTTGGGGAAAAAAGGTTCTCGAGTGGCAGCCTCATACCGGTAGGCGAAGTGTAGGGTGACCCCCCCCCCCCCTACACTGGGCTGTAATGATGATGATGATGATGATAATAAATATGTATATATGTATTAAATTTTATATATATATATATATATATATATATATATATATATATATATATATATATATATACTATATTTATAAATATAAATATTAAAATAATGAAACTATTATGAAATATAAAAAGTTAATTAATCACTATTTGTTTTACCTGCCGGTCTGCCTTAAAAATTATTAATCAAGTTTACATATAAAAAAGAATATTAGCACAAATATTTTAAACAGTCCAATGAAATAGCAATGACGGTCTTACTCATATTTCACTTGGTCAAATTAAAAGATAATTAATGTTGCGCTCATCTTCTATACAACAAAGGACAATAGAAAGAGACATAATATATTATAATGTTAATGACTAACTTAAGTAAGCGATAAACAATGATTATAAGTAAGGCCGTGATCATTTACCATTTTACATTCATATAAGACACAAGAGTATATTATACACTTAGTTTAAAATATATGAATAATTATGAAAAGATTAATCTGAGAATAAACGCTACAATTGAATACAATCTATTGGTCAAAACACGGAAATTGTATGACAAATGAAGTGAAGACATAGCTTAAAAGCCAAGAATCCAGGCCAATGTCCTTGGCCTTGGGAAGACCTTGGCTATTAGTTTGGACATATCGAACGAAGTCCAGTCCGTGACCATGGTTGCTAGAAAGCACCCGAAACTTCGGGTATTAAAAATAAAATAAATAAAACGTGATAAAATCCGTAAAAGTAGTTTTAATCAATATACAGAAATTAATCAATCATAAAGTGGTAAATAACTCTTTCCTGATCATAGAAATGTTTATATTATGTAGTTATTTTACTCATGCTAAAATTCTTGGACACGTCTGATCATAACTTTTTGTCAGTTCTTACATCAAGAGTCAGTTGTCGGTAGGTCGATTTTTCCCATTCGTTATTTTTTATTTTTGTACCGAGCGCCACTATCTTCGGAAATGGTAAGTAAAACGGCAACTTACTTATATCAGGTAATGAAGAGTCCAAACAGTATTTTAATCACGTAAGAATCATTCCGATAGGGTAAACAGTACCATTTATATGATTTTTTTTCAAAATTTCAGACTAATTAGACTTTGATTGACGTCCACATTATCCTCGTCACATACTTCCTATTGAACGCATTTAAAAGCGAATAGTAAAACATTTGGTGTTCTCACTCTTCTGGTATATATTATTGAACCCCTACAAGGATGTACTAGAGTTCCTTACGACGCAGAGCTTGGACAGCAACAGGGATCTACTTGACCTATCCTTCTTTTTCAGGATTATGAGATATCGTTATCATTTTGCTGCACTCCTAATAAAATTTAATGTTAAAGTTCCGACATGAATGTCTCGTTAGGCCACTGCACTTTTCTCTAGTCCGTTTCGCAAAACAATTCTGGAAACAAATTCCAAGATTTCCCAACTTGATAACAAGTACGATGGGTCAATAGATGTACATGTTATGTCTCTAGCTAAGGCAACAGTAAACGAAACATTATTTAAGTAACTAGATGTTAGTCATTTTTAATACTCCTAATACAATTTTGTTCCATTCCAAGTTTTTATTTTTTATGTATTTATAATTACTAGGTACTTATATTATAGTTGTAGCACGAATGGTTCGGCTCGATCGGCGCAGAATCACGCTCTAAAAGAATACGAGCGTAAAATATTAGCGTAATGCAGCTGTGTTTTGTGTGGTAAGTGTAGATAACCGGAGAACCTTTTTACTGGAATCGAAGCATTCTTAGTCCTCAGCGGTGACAATGCATTTGTATTTTGATCCTTAATTCACATTTTGTCACAGCATCCACTTACCATCAGTTATACTGTTTCTCACCCAATGCTATAAAAATGCGGTGTATACCTTTAATTAATTCTGATAAGATAAATTTGTATCTAAGTTAATGTGTGCTTACTATTTCTGAATTGTTGCAACAATCGTTGGTGTACTTAAATAAATAAATAAATAAACATCGCTAACTTCCTACCCAGGACCTCATAATCAGCGACCATGCTTACGACCACTAGACCAACGAAATAGTCAATCGAATCTGCCTTCTATATCCATTTTTTATAAATAAATAAGTGAATGATAAGTAAATTCTTAATCTAACTTACTTTTTAACTCCAGCGCTTTCCCCGCTGCCAGTATCACAAACAAAAACCACAGCACTCCCATCACAGCAATTAATGTTAAGTACTTCTAAACGTCGAATAAGCAAATGGAGAGCCGTGCGGCCAGCCTCACAATTTATACGTAAAATTAAATCTTACTTGTATTACTTCTCAGCTATAACTGCTCATTGTTACGACTAAATGTTAATTATTAATTAGATATAATCTAGTGGTCAGGATCTTCAGGATCAAAGTCTAATTTGTGTGATTATAATTTTATTAAATCTCGGGTTTTCCTGATTAATTTTCCCGAATTAAGTATTCCTGAGTGTTAGGTATGGTGATATCTTCATTCAGCTTCATCATCTTCACGTGTATGCGTTTAATGGGACCAGGTCGAGTCGTCTTGGGTTTCAACCAAAACACCTCCGGAGGTTCTTAACATCCCCTGCCCCGCCGTTATTATGGTCGTCACCGTAGCCAGAAATAGCTGGGTCTCTGGAGACTGGGGGCCGTTTCTTTGTGTCGTTGCATATGAAAGGACGTTTTGATAGTTACCACGTTTAGCAAGCGGGTTCGCAACTGCAGTTTTTTATTGTAGTTTTGCTGTTATCAGGAAAATACTCCTCCTGCCCATCTCCTGTCTCAGTTTCCCTCAGCCTCCTTACGCCGCCACTAGACAATCTCGTGCGCAGACTCAACGACTTCCAACTTTGCAACCAATCCGTTTTTGAAAAGGCTTTAGTACCATAAACCACACACATACCCTTAGGAAAATCGCACAGAAGACCGAAGAGTACATTCTTACACTTTGTCACACTGCATTGCTTGCGTATATGGACTATGAAAATGTCTTTTAAATCCGTCGAAAGGGCGGTGTTACATTCGCTTTTTCTTAATAATAATAAACATTTATTTCGTTCACTTTTTACACAGTTACATTTGTTTCATAAATAGTTTTAGAAGAAGTTTTGAGTTGTTGTGGGAGACAGGAGCCCAAACTAGGTTACGCTTTGCTATGGGTCTCTTGGCCCCTCTCTTGACTTTTTTTACACACAATTCGATGATAATGTACTTAGACATGAACTGAGCGTTGCATGTGGAGATCGAATCTAAGATTTCTAAAGTATAATTAACAATATAAGGCACATTGAATACATATTACATGCAATATGTTTTAAATTAGGAGATTTTAATGAAACGGTTGGGGTGAAAACGCTTGGTTATAAACAGTGGCGGCGCTAGGCGTCGGCGACGTCGGCGACCGCCGACCGCCGCCTCGCGCTTGAGGGGGGCCTCGCAAAATTTTTTTATTATTTAAAATTTAGTTATTCATTATTATTTATTTTAATATCATACACTTGCGCGATTTAAGTGAGTGTGTTTCTCGTTTTTTGCGATGAACACTTTACGGGCAGAATCGTCTGGCAACACTATGAAAGTTTAACAACTTCGTGCGCGAGACGGGGAATACCCGTGTCGTTTTTTTATTTCTTCTGCGAGCGAAACGTAAACAATCATTCCTTTTGTGAATGCAACGCAACACTCGCAGACTAGACTCGCAAGGACAAAATTTCTTTTTATTGTGTTGTAAAGTCAACCAGTAACCCGGTGGTAATTTAGTGGATAAAAGTGTTAATTTATATTATGATTTCGTTCATACTTCGAAGGTTATAAGATAAGGTAAGTCAATATGAACTTTTATATTATATATTATTTTTATCGAGTTTTTCTATTTTTGCGCCTAGATCTAGATTACTTTGTATTAAAAGAACTCCGCACTAGCATAGTATAAAGAGGGGAAGTAGGCTATCTCCGCCCAATCCGCGATACAATTGCCTACTGTCTTAGGGCTGCGACTATTAGCTATATTTTAAATCAGTGCCTATAAATTGGTAAGGGTCAGGAAGTTGTATTTATATCCATGAGAGGTTAGCGTTAATTATGTTACACGTTGTATACTAATCAGTTTTTTGTTTTTTTTTTATCGGCAATAATGTGTTTTTTTACACATAAATGACCATTAAGTGTTTATTTTTAATTCATACAAACACAAATAATGCAAACATGTCTATTGAATCACACAATACGTTCTCCTGCGATTATCACACATATTTCATTCATTTAGCGGTGCTGAAAAGCCGTGATACGCGAATCTCGTGCAATGTTAGCCCCGACTGGCGCACCTCGAATTGAGTCGAGATTTTGTTAAGTGTGCGTGTGGCGACGCATAGGTACTACGGCGCATGAAGCCGCGCGCGGTTCGTTTGTATGAAGATAACTTACTTGCCGTCTTTATACTTTGGCATTAGAATCTAGTGTTGTTTGAGTACAAAATAACGTAAATAAATAATTTTGATCAGTTTTCTATTAAAAGCATTTGCGTAAGTATCTATAGTTTTTTTTATAATTTGCTGCACAAAAAACATTGAACTACAGATCGATAGATCTCGTATCGCATTATTATTAACTTTAACGATACTGGGCCTATTTTAAAAGTTGGTATCGAATTAAATAATTGTTTAATTTCAATTTTTTATTTTTATTTTTAGGTCATCATGTCTGAAAGACCAAGTAGAGACAGAGATAAAGGGAGGAAATGGGAATCCGGAGCATTAAAAAGAAAAAGAAAGGTTGAAGCTGTTATATCCAACCAAACTCTAAGTTCCAGCATGTTGAAATTTCTCAAGAAACCGTCTTCGAGTGTCACTGCTTCAGAGTCATCTGATGAAACTTTAGTTTCTGAGCCAGTATCAGAGTCAAATGAATCTTTTTTTGGAAGTTCTGATACAGTTTTACCTGCAACATCGAGCGAACCTACTACGATCCAAATGTCGGAACCCAATATAGAGTTACAAAGTAAAACGTTGTGTGACTCAGAAAATCAAGTGGAAGGAGTTCATTTAAGAAAGTCATTTATAGACTTAGATCCAGGAAAATGGGTATTTCCAGTATTATGGCCAGGAATATGGGGATTCGCGGCGTCATGACCTAATTCAAAACGGACCCAATCAAGATCTAGAGAAATCTGATGACAGTTATCCAAAAGACGCAAATAAAAGACATTTTTCTAAATTTCATTTCACTCGAAAATTAAGTAACGGCGAAACGCAACATCGCCGATGGTTAGTTTACTCCATTTTTCAAGATAAAGTTTATTGCTTTCCATGTAGACTTTTTTCAAATTTGCAGACACAGATGGTAAACGAAGGATGGACTGGAAAGATTTGAGTCGGATATTGCAAAGACATGAACAAAGTCAAGGACACATGGTATGCATGATTAAATGGATGGAATTCTATAAAGGAATCAAACACGGAAAAACAATAGATACAGATAATGAGAAATCTATTAATGAATCGCAAAAGTACTGGTATAATTTGTTTGAAAGAATGATTGATATCATAAACTACCTAGCGTCACACAATTTGGCATTTAGGCATCGAGAATCCCAAAAATGAATTTTACGCGTTAAAAACCTTACGCAACAGACCAGAGCTTACGATTATCCGCGCAGGGCCATTACAATTTTAAAATACAACAACTTTTGTCGGATGAAAGTACATACCGTAAGGTCAAAACAGACCCTACAACTAATACTCTATCTACTTAAGAAATACTCCGAGAAATTGAATCTAGACGTCAATTCGATGATACCTTCGTGTGCAAAACCTCCCAAGTTGTATGGGTTACCGAAAATACACAAACCTAACGCTCCGTTACGTCCAACAGTGAGTCAAATCGATTCGCCAACTTACAGATTGGCTCAACACTTAGCCAAAATATTATCACCACTCAGAGGACACACAAGAGCACATACTAAGGATTCATACCATTTTGTCAGTGAGATAAAAGACCTACGTCTTGCTGACAATGCAACCATGGTCAGTTTTGATGTTCAATCTCTATTTACATGCCTACCTGTTGAAGACTGCATCTCAATTATAACTAGGAAACTAGATGAAAATAACATGCCACCAGAATATGCAATACTACTAAGACATTGCCTTACATCTGGCTATCTATTGTGGAAGGAAGAGTTTTACAAGCAAGTAGATGGTGTTGCGATGGGCTTACCTGTATCTCCCATTGTCGCCATATGTTCATGGAAGACTTTGAGGAGAAAGCCCTCCTTACTGCACCTGTCACCCCAAGGTTCTACAAGCGGTACGTAGACGATACTTTCACAATTTTACCATCAGACAAAGTAACTGCATTTTTAGAACATCTTAATTCCATAAACTCTAAAATTCATTTTACTATGGAGTTAGAGGCAAATAATTCCTTAGCTTTCCTAGATGTGTTAGTCATCCGAAATCCTAACAACACCATAGGCATACTGTGTATAGAAAAAAGACCCTTATAAACCGAAAAATGGTAAATGGTGAATCTCATCATCATCCTTCACAGTTAGCTACCGTGGGCAAATCTTTGTTACAGAGAGCACGAGGGATCTGTGACAGCAAACACCTGGCCGCTGAGCTTCAGCATGTCAAGCAGGTTCTGCACGACAACAAGCTTCGGGTCCCGCGCCTCCGTCACAGTGATCGAGTGAAGCCGGCCACAGTCGAGCGTGTGCTTGCTGTACGAGTACTTCCATATGTCAGAGGTGTCACAGACAAGATTGGCTACATCTTGAAGCGAGTTTCTATTAGAACATTCTACAAGCCGCCGAATAAGATTAGTCAGTTCTTACCATCCGTCAAGTGTCACATTCCTCTACAAGATGCAGGAGTGTACAAGCTTGATTGTGATTGTGGTCTCTCATATATAGGGTAAACAAAGAGATCGATTAGAACCCCCGTAAAAGAACACATAGCTGACGTGAAGCATCAACGTTCCGGTAAGTCTGCAGTTTGCGATCATATCCGAGATGGCCCCAACCATTATATCAGATTTGATAGACCACAAATTCTCGCGAAAGAACATCGATTCCTACCAAGGATGATACTACTATGACTAGTGAAGTGATGAGGCTATTGAAATTAAAAAACATCCTAATTTCAATAGAGAAGGAGGCTGGGTGCTACCACCTGCTTGGGATCCTATAATTAATATAATTATAACTAAACCCAAGCATACCACTGCAAGACTTCAAAACACAGTTAGTTCATTCTGCGTAGATCGGACCAAAGACAATAATTAAAAAAAGCTGAAGGTACTCCGGGTTTGACATCGGGACGTCAGTCACCTCAGTTCCCCGTGATCATGGGTGCTGGAAAGCACCCGAAACGTCGGGTATTAAAAATAAAATAAATAAACGCGATAAAATCCGTAAAAGTAGTTTTAATCAATGTACAGTGTTCGCGTAAATATAAGAAATCATTTTTAAAAACAAATGCACTAGACTCTATCAACGACGCGACACAACTCATTCAATACATTTTAGAGAATTATTTGGAAGAAATATATCCAAATGTTTTTATAGCAATTAGAATCATGCTCACAGTTCCCATCAGTACAGCTTCCGCTGAGAGAAGCTTCTCAAAGTTAAAATTGATTAAGACCTTCTTGAGAAGCACGATGAGTTATATCAATTGAAGCTGAAATAGCGTCTGGTATTAGCTATGATGTAATCCTGAAAAAGTTCAGTGAGGCCAAAAGCCGAAAAGTTCGTTTATTTTAACTTCTATTTATGTAAGTTTTGTCATCATTTGATAAGCAATAAAAAAACTTAATTATTAACAATAAAATGTTTAATAAAATTTGTTGATAATATTATTTTAACTATAATTCGGTTTACGTAATTTAATATTTTCTTGATTGGGAAAAAAGGAGGCCTTGCGAACCTAATTTCGCCGAAGTCCACGGGAGATCTAGCGCCGCCACTGGTTATAAAAGGATATTGGGAACGTTTGGTGATGAAAGTATAAATGAGAATGGTGAGAGCTTCCTCACCGTATGTATGGAAAAGAATCTTTTTGCGACGAAAACTTTCATTCGCCACAAGAGGATTCACATGTATACTTGGGAAAGAAGTGATGGTAGATTTCACAATTGTAGATGAAATAATGAGAAGTGCAGTGGTAGATACAAGGCTTTATTGGGGGTCTAACTTAGCAACTGATCATTATTTGGTTTTATGCCAAATTAAGAGGCGTTGACGACATCTGTGTCTACCACTACGTTACAGCGTATTAGAACAGAAAGGTTACTAGATGAAGGTGAAAAAAGAAGTACAAATGTAGACTGAAAGAAAATATAAGTGGCTTGGATGAACTATGTATGAATGAGTTAGACTTGGAATATGTATGGCAAAATCTTAAGAAAGGTTTAGTGGATGCAGCTACCAAAGTATGTGATGTTAGTAAGAGAACAAATGAAAGGAAAAATAATATGTTGTTGTGGGATTATAACGTACGTATGGAAGTTGAAGCAAAGAAGAAAGCACGGATAGATCTAATAGCAACAAAGGCTATTAATTCTGGCGGTACGAATGATTATATTGAAAGAAACAAGAGAGTAAAAGAAGCAGTTGAAAGGAAAAAGCAAGAAAGAACGGATAATAATGATAGAAGAATAACGGATAACTTTCAGGCAAATATTAAAAATGTTTTGAAAACTCGTAAGAACTGCCAGGGGACATTCAAAATAGCCTGTAATAAATGCTATAAGAGAGGAGAATGGCTATATTCTTAATGATGAAGTTTTGTGTTTAAAGAGATTTTTTTTTGCGGATGGAAAATCATCTAATGAAACCTTTCGCTCTGGGTGGAGCGTAAGGGAGTGTCATACTTTTACTGACTAAAAACCATCCGTGTTCCTTCAGTGCCCTTACGTTCCGGAGCCGCGGTATCTCTTTCGAACAGCCCGCAGCCCCGGCAGGCGTCGGCCCTTGCGGGCCCCTTCACGCTGCTGACAGCTCTTTGAGGCGCGCGTGGAACAAAACGCGCCGTCGACACGGCCTGTCGTCGTTAGACGGACGGACGGCGAGCTACCCATTGCTCGCCGTCCACAGGCCCGCGCCTACGGTGGCCGGGGGGCCACGACGTAACCCCCGATGCCCGGGGCGTCTCCCGCGGCGGCCGGGGCGGAAAGCTGCTGCTCTCGCCGTCTCCCGCTCCGCCACCTCCTTCGCTAGCATCACTGCTTCGCAGAAGGTGGTGACGGCATCCCATTCCGTCTCGCTCCGGACCATGGCTTCGACCAGGGCCGGACGCGAGAGGTCGCCGCCGCCTATCGCCGCTACGAGGACACGGCGGTGCTCTGCCCAAGCAGGGCACACCTCCACGGTGTGTTCCACCGTGTCCTCCGGTCCATCCTCGCAGTGGGAGCACCCGGGCGTTTCCTCCCGCCCGATTCGGTGCAGGAACCTCCCGAACACACCGTGTCCGGTGAGGACCTGCGTCAGGCGGAAGGTGAGGATGCCGTGGCGTCTCTCAAGCCACTCCTCAAAGAGGGGTCTTATCGCCGCTATAGTGGCGTGCCCAGCACGGGGTTGCGACAGTCGCTGTCTCCATGTCGCCATGAGATCGTGCCGGAAGTCTGTCCGCTGCGCGACAACTTGCCGCGGCAGCGGGGTTTCCCCACGGCACAGTGCCTCCGCGCGCCATTCGTGAAGGCGCGCGAGGACTATCGCCTCCAGATCCCACGGCGGCAATCCGGCAAGGAGGCTCGCCGCCTCGCGGGAGATCGTGCGGTAGCCGCGAACCATTTTCACGGCAATCACCCTTTGGGGCGCGTTCAGGTGGTGGACGGTAAGCCGTGCCAAACCACGCGTCCACACCGGGGCCCCGTAAAGGGCCATGGACCGCACGATCCCCGCGTAGAGCATCCGGCAGGAGGCGTTTGGCCCTCCCAGGTTCGGCAGGAGCCGCCTGAAGGCAGCCCCGGTCCGTTCCAGTTTGGGAGCCAAACGTCGGAAGTGCTCAACGAAGTTGCATCGGCCTTGGAGGACGAGTCCTAGGTACTTCAGCGTCGACTCGACGCCGATGGATACCCCTCCTACCATCACTGAGGATCCCGGTGGTGGCCTGTTCCGAGGACCATG